GGCAGGATCAATGATCTACCTCCCTGCCCCCAATCACTAGGCACCTTGCATGGAGTCTGGGGTCCACACTTTCACTGGATCTCCCACCTGCCATTTCCTAATAACCCCCGTTTTGTCTCCCACTTCAGGTTAGACCTTTTCGGTGACCAGGTCAGAGTCTATAGAGGTGGTTTTTTTTGTTTTGTTTTGTTTTTTAATTTTTCTTGGTTTAGAGCACCAGTTGCTCTTCCAGGACTGGGGTTCAGTTCCCAGCACCCATATGGTGGCTAACAACTATTCCTAACTCCAGTTTCAGGGGATCTGGTGCCCTCTTCGGGCCTCTGTGGGCATTGCACATGTGGTACACTTACATACATGTAGGCAAAACACTCATAATACATCGAAAAAAAAAAAATCAAAGAGAGCTAATAGCCAAGTCCTTTATATTCTAGAACTATCATGTTCTTTGCTTTATTGTTTCGGTATTCAAGGGACTAGATTAAGACTAGGCTAAGGTCAATGCTCTAAAAATAGGTTAGTACTTATCATCTGAATAACTGATGACATGAGGAGTCATCATACAAGCTTTATTTTAATTGTATTTTTTTAATTTTATGTATATGAGTGTATTGCCTGCATGTGTGTAAGTGCACCCATGTTGTGCAATGCCAGAGGAGGTCAGAAGGCATCGGATTCCCTGGAAGTGGAGTTACAGACAGTTGTTAGCAGCCATGTGGGTGCCAGGAATTGAACCCAGCTCCTCTGCAAGAGCAGTCGGTGTTAACTGCTGAGCTACCTCTTCAGCCCCAACACTGTATAAGCTTTAAATACAAACTTCAGCACTGTATTTTCTTGAAGCTAATTTTTTCTTTTTCCTATTTAAAAAATACACTGAGGAGAGATGGCTTAGCAGTTGAGAACACTGGCTGTTCTAACTGTGGAAGACCTTGGTTCAGTTCCCAGCACCCACATGGCAGCTAACCACCATCCTAACTCTGAGTCCAGGGGATCTGGGGCCCTCTTCTGACCTCCTTGGGCACTGCACGACACGGGTGCACTTTCATACACGCCAGCAATGCACTCATACACATAAAATAAAAATAATAAAATATTTAAAAAATAGATCAGGTCTTGTTATATAGCCCAGGCTAGACTTGAACTTTCAATCCTTCTGCCTCAGCCCAAGTGCTGGGATCACAAGTGTACCGTACCCAGCTTGAAATGAAATTTCAACAGCTTTATGAAACTGGGTATGCTATCAAAGTAAGGGTTATCAGACCAGAAGCCTAAACTTTGCATCTGCCAGTCACACTTGTATCTGTGACTAGTCCTTCCTCTGCTTAATCATGGTGTACCTCCCAAAGAGCTCTGCCAGCAAGGCATCTGTACTTTCTCTAATAGACATTTTCACCTGACTCACCCATGCTTTACAAACACTGATAATCATTTTTGCTCTTAATGAACACATCTAATTCCAGATGTCACAAAAGACTGCTTTTACAGAACACTTTTATATGTTAGTCATCTAGTGTATCTTAGCTCCAGATTCACTTTTCAATGGCTATTCCTGTAGTAATGGAGACAAGCGCATCAAGCTTGCAGGGGGCATGATGTTAGCCTTCTCACAGAGTTCTCAAAAGGGCACTAGATGTGAAAGGGGCTCTCCATCAAACTGCTGCAGTGGGTCAGCAGTGTGGGTAGCTTGCAGAACACATGGTCCCTCAGTCTGGCAGCTTCGGCCTGGCCTGTGCAACCTCTCAGCATGGACACCACATGCTCTAGCCTCCTTTCTACACTGCAACATACTGCTTCTGTAAACACAGCTGCCCGTGTGCCTGGCTGGCCCCTGTTGCTCCCCAAGGATTGTGTCTTCCCGTTTGCTCAGAGAACTTCCTGTCACTCAGGTGCAAAACTATACTTCTTCCAAAGACATCTGAAAGCCAGTTTTCCTCATGGTCATTCTTCCTGGGGTGTTCCCATTGCTACTAAAGTTTTCTTGTATTTGATGGGCATTCTCACCAGAGCTTAGCAATTCCTTCTATTATCTCTTGTTTAAATCCCTGTGTGATTCTCGTCTCCTGATTGATCTTAGACTAACATATTTCAAACTTATCAACTTGTAGCTGTCATCAGAAAAAAAAAATAGAAGGAATCAAAGTTTGAGTAATACAGTAAGAAAAAAATTGAACTTCTTAGCATATGCCCACATAGTGAGTTATCAAATAGATTGCTGAGCACACGCTAATATTACATATATTTTATCTGACTTTATAGTCAGATTTTATTCATTATCCAGAAGGAAAAGACGACACACAACAAGGACCCTCTTAGTACAAAGCTAGCCTAAAGCAATGAAGGAAGCACACTAAGGAAGTGGTTTGAGACAGTCAGCAGTCAGCATGTATATCCACAGGTGGGTTACAGAGAGTACACTTTCTTCAACAGCAGTGTGCAGACAGAAACACTAACTCGCGATCAGTAACTTGCTCCATGAAATGATCTAAGAGATGAGTCTGTTTTTTAATAATGCATTTAAGTATGAACTGGAGATTACACCATTTCTGAAACAAGAAAGACATTTTTTCTCCTCTCAGTTGTTCACCAACTAAAAAACATAAGCCAAATTACAGAGAATGAATATAACCTACAGGCCAGAGACACAGTGGCAGTGGCAAAATGCCTCTCTAGCATATGTGGGGCCTGGTTCAACCCCAGCACCACAGGCGATACACACAGGACACATGTGCGAGCACACACACACACACACACACACACACACACACACACACAGAGAGAGAGAGAGAGAGTGAGAGAGAGAGAGAGAGAGAGAGAACTCTATGGGCTTGTCGTCCTTGCACTGTCTAGACTGCAGCAGTTCCTCTGTCTGTTTTGCTGCAGATGTAACTCTTTGCACACTGGGGTTCTGGTAAAGCTGCTCTTGGAGAGCTGAGTGGCTCTGGTCTCCTTCACTGGGAGGCAACCCGGAGCCCTGGGTGACTTGTGAATGGAGAAAGGGTTTCTTGCTGTTGTTCAGAAATTGTCCACAGGTCTGAATGCTATAGTCATTTTAGCTGCTAAATATGTAACTGAAACCTGCCAACATCCAGTTCCTCATCCATGGTTAGGATGCAGTTGAATGCTAAATGACGCTTGGGAATCGAGAGGCCAGTCAACGGGGGAAGCTGCAGCTGGAGTCATTCTTCAGGTTACCATGCTGGAGACAGAACACTGCCGCTGTCCACACTTCTGCTGCTCTTGCTAGCTGGTGCTGACCTTCCTGGGGGCACACTATTTAAGAGTGATTTACCATTCCTGGGAGTAAGGAGAGGAGACTGCTGGAAAAAGTCAAAACGGCAAATTTCGTATGTTCGTATCAGAGTCCTCTGGAATTTCTTGACGAGAACTACCAAAAGCATCCCTCCATTGGGTTCCTCCTCATTTTCCTTTTGTCTGCCAAGGCTGGACTTGAGAGTGATGGACTTAGAATTTGTTTTTAGGTACCAGCCCCTTTTTGAAAAAGAAAAATTCAAAATGCCACTGTAACCTAATTAAGACTCAGGCCAACTTCCACGCACACACATAAAAGCTTCAAGCTAGAGGGGCAAAAAGTAAAACGAAACATTCATTTTGGCAATGGTGTCAGAAAATTATGTTTCCAAAGATGCTCAAATTTTCTTACAGTATTAGAAATGAAGAAGGAATTTTGCCAAAACTCAAAAATATGTGCACAAAACACACACACACATAAAAGCTTCAAGCTAGAGGGGCAAAAAGTAAAATGAAACATTCATTTTGGCAATGGTGTCAGAAAATTATGTTTCCAAAGATGCTCAAATTTTCTTACAGTATTAGAAATGAAGAAGGAATTTTGCCAAAACTCAAAAATATTTTAAATGTATTTATTACTGTTGTAAATTCAAGTAAAAAGAGTGATATGGACCAGTGCTATCCAGCAGGAACATAAGCAAGCCTTGTACAAACAGACAATTTAAGAAAAGGAAAAAGGTGAAGTCATTTAAACATTTAACAATACGTTCAAATAGTATCATTTTAATACGCAGCCAATACAAAAGTTATTCAAGAGATCTTTAAGCGTCCACACGAAGAGGACAGCTTCGTGTGGCTTGCTAGTATCATGGCAGCACTGTTCTGAACTGCAGAGCTTCAGCTTTTGCAACGATGAAGACAGATGTCTGCTCTACGATTTTTTAGTGGAAGCCTGGTTGCAGTGATTTTTATACAAAGAAGTATGGTAACAGTATAAACTGCTGTTTTATAAGAAGATCGTATAAATCTCTGCTCTATTCACTGTAACCCAAGTTTCTATACTTTTGAATATCAGTGTCCACAGCCTACCAACAAGGTCTCCTGAGTTATCAGGACCAGAAACCAGGCCCGCACTGGAGCTTCCTGCAGTTCTACTCAGACGTAAGCTGCCGCCACCACAATACCCTGGTGACGCTTAGTGCCACACAGATCTTTCACTCAGCTGAGGGACTATGAGCTCAGTTCAATGCAATGCTTGTGACTCAGCAAAGATATTTTCACTGTTCTTTGAAGTGCCACATCATGTTTGGCCTACCACCACAGATCTACTGTATGCTGGCATACTGAGAGATGCATACAGGAACATAAGGTCTGTATAGTGACCTTTCTGCTGACAACCTGGAAGAGAAAACTAAATCATAATATTAATGACATCGATTTCCTGCTAAATTAACTGATGAGCCTTAAAAGGGCTTTGCAGAAGAAACTGAGGGAGTACAAAGTTCTGAAAGCACCCCACGGCAGATAACTGTCCAGGCTAGAAATCCACACACAGGAAGGCATGTAAGATAGGCATGAAACATTATTACCCACAAACAGAATAAATATTCAAGTGTTTTTCATATTTCTGGAAATAGCTTCAGAACACTCAATTCCTGATCGTGCTTCTCTTCTACAGTTAACAGGGCTGGAGGTGCAGTGTGTGGTAGAGTACTTGCCTAGCATGTGCAGAGTCCTGCTTCAATCGCACAGTGTTTTTTTTTTTTTTTAAAGTTAAATCATAATTGACCAATAAAAATATAAAGAGAATTTTTAAATGAATAACTAAATCCACAAGGGACTGAGCTATCACTTGCACAAGGCTCTGGGTTCAAGACCCGGCAATATACATACAAAATTTAATAACTAAAGATATAACCAAGTAGGCCAAAATTTAAAAGACAGTGAAATCCCACAACAGGCATGTTCAACTTACTAATGATATAAAAATTACTCCAAATGAAACCACAGTGAGATACATTTTATATGACAGAGCTTGGCACAACATGATTAACAGTCCCCAAGGTTGGCCAGGAGCTATGGTCTTGAAAATGTTAGCAGAGTGTTGGAACATCCACTTAGAAGGCAATCTGACTGCAGCTCTCTAGCTGATGGTGTGCTCCGCTCCTATTTGCACAGCCAGCAGCTCTACTGAAAGTGTGGGTCCGCTCTTCCATATGTGCACTGAGGCCAAATAAAAGGAGGCTCACATCAGCATCTCCTTTTTCAGTTCCAAACAAAGATGTGCTTCAATAATTAGCAATCCAAAGGAAAACTGTGAGATAATCATACACAGGAATAATATTTAACAGTGAACACTCCCATTGCAATGAAAATAAAAAGGAAGGGATAAATACTGTATCTGATTTATTCTGTTTATTCTTCTTCAAGGATATACACATGGAGACCACATGCTTAGGAGGAGGAAGGCTACAATCAACACAAATACAGGGTGGGGCGCCCTTTAGTAGACAGGAAGAAAGAGAGGCCAGGGAAGAACACACCTGCACCTCAGTGGAAAGGCAATAAGGCAGGCGGCAGGCGGCAGGCGGCAGGCATGCGGGTTATCATTACTCGTTATACTTCAGTAGATGTGTGTATACATATGTATACATAGTTCATTGCGTGTATGAAATCTAAAAAGTTGGGATTTTAACAAGAAAAGAAGAACATGCAACATTTCTGCTGATGAGCTGCAGCCTCGAGGGCTGACAACCACCTCTCTGTCACTGACCACTTCTGTAACTGCTGCTTCCGTTTTGTTTCTGGCATCCTACTGTGCTGTGCAGATAGGACCCATCACATTGTAAGGGCTCCATACCTGCAGACAGAAAGGATGACCATGCTAACCTGCCCTGCACATCTAGAACTAGGAAACCACTGGGAATTTGGGTGATAGGCAGGCAGGGCTATTGGCTGATTTGGTCTCATGAGGTAAAACATTTCTGCCAGTGACAGCTTTGTTCTCTTTGGTCCGTTTCTCCATCTGTCCTGCTATTTAAGGTTTGCGATAGTTCTGTAAGGAGCTCAGACTCAGACACTGACTCCAGAAATGTTATTTTTGTTTCGCTTTTCTGCTTTTAGAGGTGGCATAAAGGGAGCCCAGGTGAGAGGAGTCCTGGCTACTCAAGTTTCCTGTAACCAGCATGGGTCAAGTCACCAGTGCGGCTTCAGTATACTCTAGAGACCACACAGTCCACTTGGACCAGCCCAGTACCTGATTAAGTTCTGCCTTGGCCCTGATCCCTCAGTTCCTCTCAGTGTGCTCAGGCAGGACCACAGGATGCTCTCCATGGTCGCATGAACTCTACATAGTTACAGCAGTTTCTGTTTCCATGGATGGCAGCGGAAGCAGCTTCGTAACTAAATAGAAAGAATCCAGCCAAACCCAGAACTAAATTCAGAAAATGTGTGAGGACAGATGGAAACAACTCCAGTTTCAGAATGCACATTTTCTGGAATTTATTCTCCTTTAATGCTGAACAGAAAACGTGAGATTTCACCAATGCCTTTAGAGACAAACACAAACACTGAAATAAAAACAATTATACAGATTGAAATGGACCCTGATACAAAAGAAAAACTCTTATATGAAAAAATTTCCAGAAAAAGAAAACCCTACAATAAAATCATACAAACCAAAAAATTAAAATAAACCCCACAAAAAAAAACCCAGAAGCCGCCTTTGGTACCTTCAATAACAAAACACAAAAATACTTAGTTTGGTGTTGAATTCACTGATACTAAAACACATGAATGATGAGTTAAATTTATAAAACAGAAACCAATTTAAAATATATTAGCTTATTTCTTTGATGATTCCCCAACTTCACCACAAAAATTCATAGTAAGAAAATGACCTGCAAATGCAGTAGTATTTTTAAGCACACTATCCAAAGAGTATGTTTAAGATAATCATACTACATACAGCATGGTCAATTCAAATTTCTAAGACAAAATTTGGTGGCTTTCTCTGTCTCATAAATATATTGTTCTTACAGCTTAGAATGTGCAAACATAACCTTACTGAATTGGTTCTTGGCACCCACTGGCAAGAGCAGACTAAATGTAACCTGGGTAATCACAACTTGGAAATTTTTTTAACTCATTCTATCTTAAACAGAAATGTGTCTTGTCAGAAGACTCACAAACTCAAACACAGTACCCAGTTAGAGGAGAAAAAAAAAAATCCTGGATAGTCCCTGGGATTTATCAAATGGAATGTGACCTGGATCTTGTTTAATACCAACTAACCAGTAACATTCATGATTTGACAACAAGTTTTTCTTGGAGAGAAAATTGTGGATCGGGCATCTGTTCATTCATGAAGACTGCCCAGCTGTAGTAGTACTGCAAGTCTCGGGCTAAGACTTCAGCCTTAGCATTCAAAAAGATCAGCAGAAAGTCCACATTTAGCAAAGCACAAGGTGGGTTGGGGGACGGGAGGGAGCACAAGTCATTTGCTCTTCTAATTCCTTCTCAGACTCACAATGAAAGGTTCAGCATCAGGCTGCTAGGGACAGGTAGAGATTTCAGTCAGCCCTGAGTTCATCCTAGTCAAGGCTATATCTATGTCTGACAATTAAAAATTAAAATATGAAAGGATACAGAGAAGTAACCTCTGCTCTGACAAGTTTGGAAAGTGTTCACCAGTTCCAACCAATGGGAACAGGGACTGTTCTTGACAGTCAGGGTCACTCTCTAGACAGCTTCTTTCCCTTCTAAGGGGCTCTGAAATCTCACTTGTGCTCATTCATCGAACAAGAATGTGTGCCTACAGTATTCTAAAAGTCTGAGACTGTGAATTGATCTGAGATACGAACAAAGAAAGTAAAGAAACAATGGTAACTCGGGAGAAACTTCACTGTATAGTGGTATTGCAGCTTTCTTTTTCCTTTCTGTGGCACTGCAGTTTGAGCCCAGGGCCCTGTGCATGCTATGCAAGCGCTCTACCGCTGAGCCAGAGCCCCAGCAGTACTGCTGTCTTCTAATACGCTTCATCAAGGGTTCATAAAATATATCTAGCTGAGAGACTCCTTTCTCAAGAAAATAGAACCCCTTCAGAAAATAGAATAAGAGCAGCGGTTACTCAGGGGGGCTGCATCAAAAAATGTGCACTCGTGTTAAATAAACCGCAAGATCAAAAACACCTTCGTATCCTAATCAGACAACTTTTCTGTTAATTTACTGTCTAATTAGTGCACTTATTAAAATAATATCTTTCAAGCAGTCTTAAGCATTTAGGTGAAACTTTCCCCTTGCAAGAGATAGAAAAGCATGCATGTTTCAGAACAGCAATTCTTTTCTGCCCTGTAACTTGGTTGTGATCATGCAACACTGCAACAGTGGTTTTTAGAGGCATCTGCAAAAGCCTGGGGGACAGAAACGGAGAAGGGGTCTACAGCAGCTAACTTTTTCAGCAGGTGTTATTACAAAGCACCACAACAGTGACATTTGTGATTCTGCAGCAAAAACCTTCAGTGCCCTTTGTCAGCCAACACTGTTTTCTTCTTCCTGATTGAGAAGTGAACAGTCTGGAAAAGTTCGAGATTCGATTCAGGCAGCTTAAAGAAGAATGGGTTTATGCAATTCTGGTATCTAATAAAACCTAGAGCAGAGTCAACATTTTCTCTCTGATGGTGCCACCCCTTTATCTATCAGTCATTAAGGAAGCAGATCTGTAAGAGCTGACAGTACTTTCAGCTGAGTGAGGCAACCTCAGGCAAATCAGAAAATAAAAGAATTCCCCACCACAGTCCCGATTTGGTTTAAAGCAATCCCCATTATTCCCACATATTCCAAAAACACCTTTTCCAGGTCAGGCAAAGTGACTGATTATTCGTGTGGCTTTTGTCACAGTGATGCATCAGGTAAGCAGGTGTGTGCTGAGTACCACAGGGTGCTCCAAAATGCATCTCCGTCACCTTTCACTCTTTAAGGTTCAGGCTATTTAAAATAAAGGAAAAAAGGCACCGATTACTGCATTGCATTGATAAGAAAATTTGTCTTTAGCAGTTATTTTTTAAATGTCAGGAACAGAGGTGTGGGAGGTCATACCTCATGCTATATGACTGACAGGAGCAAATCCTGGCTTTCAGGGTCAGGGCCCAGATTTAAATGACACACATCCAAGCTGCCAAACACGTAAGGGAAACCCCTACGTTTTGGCAGCCATGAGTCTCCTTCCTCTACTGTGCTACTCCACAGCAGGCGGCTGTGAGCTCCCAAGGGTGTGCAGAGGTGCTGGCTAATGACAGCCTCAGAATGGCCACATCATTTAGAAAGCATCCCCACCCCAACTGCCAAGCACTCAGCCCTCCCTACTACCCAACTTAAATGAGAGTCACCAGGAGGCCACTGCAACTTGCTCCAGCTATGACAGACCTGTGTGTGGTGCCACCAGCTGCCACATATTTTGAAAATCACCCCTGAATAGTAGGGACTGGAAGCAGTCATTTAGATAACAGGATCTGCTTGGAGTCTTAGGAATAGCCAAGTTGTTGGCTTTCTACATTGGTGACTAGTGCCATTTCCTCACTTAGGGAAACACCGGCAGCCAGCCATTGCTGCAGCTTCCCCTGCCTGATACTTGCATCTCTCCCAGCTTTGATGGGGAGAGAAACCTGAATTTTACATATGAGCAACCCATTTACTTTTCACTTTAAAAAGTTCTATGCAGGACAAACAATGAATCCAAAGCCAGTGTGGTTTTTAGGCCACCTCTGACCTTTCTTCACTCTGTCCACTTTGGATAGTACCCCAGTCAAAGTCTACACACACTTGCCTACAGGGCTCATCAACATACTCTCCTACAGTGTGGGCAATTACAGATGCTAATGGTGGCCGTAAGTGCTTCCTGGTTAGCTTTCTTTGTGTGTATGCTGCAGAGAGGTAGGAGAGTAGAGAAGAAGGGGGCATTCATCTTTTGGTACCTTACATCTGTGACCATTTTATCCAAACCTTAAACTGCAGACTGTGTAACAAATTATAACCAAGGTGAAAAATCAGTGACTGGAAGGTGGGACACGCTCACTTGTTCCTACACCTCCACTTCTCTAGATAAACATGAAATATGTGTTGTTACTGTACTCTAAGGCCCTGGTGGTTCCTGTTGGCAAGTGGTACAGATACATGTACTGTGGTCCCAAGGGTTCCTACCCAGGAATAGTCATTCCCAGGCCTTTTCTGCCTTTTGAGTGACCAATTTCAATGAGACCAACTTTCACATTGTCCAACCACCATATGGAATGGATACTGCATAGATCATAAGGTCTTTAGAAATGCTACAGAAAATATAGTGGGGGGGGTGGTGTTGAGACAGGATTTCATGTAGCCCAGTGTAGTGACCCCTCTGGTCCCTTAAGGACAATAGTGCTCTGCTCACTAATAGTTAACAGGCTCCTGGCACTTGGCTCACTATGAGTTAACAGACTTCTTCTGACTTCCTTGATGTGGAGGTTTGAGAAGGGAGCAGCTTGCTCATAGGATGCTGGGAATAGACCAATTAGACAGCTGTCCCTCGGATGCCAGGGCAGGTGGATAGCCCGCCCCCCCTTATGTTTCTGCATACCTCAAAGGAGGTCTGTTATGGGCCAGTGGCCATGGTCTTGGGCATGCTGTACTGTTTTCTTACTATTATGATGGGAACATGCCTATGTATTTTGCACTGCTTGAGCACTTCTCATATGTAAACTCTGTGTGAACATCAAATGCTGAGCTTCCAATAAAGACACTCCTGAGGGGCACAAGCCTAGGGTCTCCTGGTCCGATTTCAGTTTGGGGAAACAGACGTTGTGGCAGGCATCTACAGCCCAGGGTGGTAGGGAACTTGCTATATAGCTGAAAATAACCTTGACTTTCTGACCCTCTTGCCTCCATCTCCAGAGTGCTGGGATTAGAGGTGTGTGCCACCATGCTCAGTTTATTCCAGTCCTGGGGAATCAAACCCAGATTTCATGCTTGCTAGGCAAGTCTACTGACTGAGCTATACTTCCAGCCTATTGTCTAAAGAAGAAAAACAACAGCTCGCAGAATCTCTAAGGAACCTTTGGGGGAAATGAGAACACGGATGGCAAATACACAGTATTTTCTAAGACATTTTGAGGCAGACAATGGTGCCCACTGGGTTTATACAACTAGCAGGCTCCTGCCCCAGTTTTTTCTATTTCTTTGAAGATAAATCTTGATTGTCTAATATCTTTGGGTAAAACATGTTATATGAATACCCTAATTTTCCTAACAAGCATTCAGATATCTGACATAAAAATATTTTAAGAACCTGTAAATACTTTCTGTGTGGGTTTGCCTTTTCTGAAAACAAGCACATAGGAACCACCCACAACCATCTGTGGACTTATTGATGTAAAAACAAAGCAAGTTTTTATGCTGGCTCTGCACCACAGGTGCTGCTGGATAATTTATATTTTGGATGGCCTCTGCCTTCCTCCCACAGGTGCTCCAGAGACAGCACCTACCAGGGGCAGCCTCAAAGGGCCTATCACAGACAACAGAGTCCCCAGAAATGTACTGCCCTTTCAGTTGTGTTAAAAGTAGACACTTTAGAATTCAGCTTCAACTTGAAATATAGCCAAGCCTCGGTAACAATGTATATAAAGACTGTAAGGAAAAATGGAAAAATGTCAATGTATCAGCTCTGGGTAGTATATCTTAAAGTTTCTTAATTTTTAAAAATGAGTGTGAATTACTTTTATAATCATAAAACCAGTGTTTTAAAATAACAAAACTATTGGCTTACTTAATAACTATCCTTTTTTTATTTCGAAAGTAATCTATGTTCTTGATAAGGTTGTGTAAATACCCATTGTCACTAAGTCTGAATGTGAGACAAACTTAGTTGGGTTCATGTTTTTCAAAAGACATGACATAATAAAAGGGCTTTTCAAATATTCTGAGTGGTTTAGGAACTGTAGCCTGCTTTTCAAGTTCGATCTTGCAGATGCCTTCCAAATGTGGCTTTGCATCTGCTCTTTCAAAAAGCTTAAAGTACTGCTGTCTGCTGGCATCTCTGGGCGTTGGTTCCAAGTCCTCCCTGGGATCTGTGAATCTTCAAATCTCTAAAGTAAAGGGGTGCAGCAGCCACACATCACCTGTGCACATCTGCCCACCTGCTTCAGAGCGTCCCTAGATGACTTGTAACATGTCAAATACCCCAAGTCTCTGTAAAGAGGTGTAGACTGTATTTTTAGAAATGAAAACAAGAGAAATCTGTACATGTTCAATCCAGATGCAATTTTTTTCCAGATACTTTCAATTTGTGTCCAATTTGTGGATGAATCCACAAACGTGGAACACACAGACACAGAAGGGTGAGCGGGCACATAAATTTTGAATTTAAACAGGAACTAGTGAGTGATTTTGCTACTTTGAATGCCTTCTCAAAGAACAGGGGTATAAATTGCAAGTAAACTAATTCTGATTTACAGCAAGTTAAACATTGGAGAGAAAAGTGTTTAACACTGCCCCAAGAGAGAGAAAAGACAAAAGGTTTAGGGGACTAGATCTGCATCCCTCTAGCTCCTTCAATCTCAGTCCATATGAACCATTCAAGTAACAGAACCTCTAAAGCAGGAGTATGGAAAGATTAACTAACCTACCTTAGATGTCAACCGTGGTTTCAGGCCCAAGAATGAAAAGACTGTGTTGCTTTCCTTTGCCTCAAAGAAACTGTCATAATCCTAGAAAAAAGGGGATGGGGAAAATAAAACCAATAAATAAAATCAAACAATTATCTTTATAGTTGCTGTTTCAAAAAATTCTTTATGGGGATGGAGAGATGGCTCAGCGGTTAAGGGCACTGGCTGCTCTTGCAGAAGACCTGGGTTTGGTTCCCAGCACCCACATGGCAGCTAACTCCAGTTCCAGGGGATCCAATGTCCTCTTCTGACCTCTGCAGGCACTGCACGACATGGGTGCATTTACATACATGCAGGCAATACACTCATACACATAAAAAATAATAAATATTAAAATATATATAATTCTTTATGGAAGTAAAAACAACAACAACAACAAAACAACAACAAAAACCAAACCACTGGCCAGGCCACAGAAGAGCTACATACAGGAGAAAAGGACAGCCTTTTCTCACATGTCAAACTAGCATTTATCTGTGTGGACGCTCTGACCTAAGAGTCCACTCATCTCCAACAGGGACAGCCACCTAGTGCCATTCTTGGTACTTTGCTATCCAGGGCATTAAAAACAAACAAAACAAAACAAAACAAAAAAGCAAAGCAAACATTCACCAGAGCCTCCATGTGTCTGCCCACACACTTCTATTCTACTTTGAATTTCCAGCACTCTCTGAGACCATGCCTTCAGAAAGAGTAAAAACTAAAAGAAACGATATTTTCTGTAGCATTTATCTTTGCCTTCAACACAGAATCATTTTTCTCTTCCTACTTTCAGAAGTAGAGAGCCATAAAGGAATTCTGGTCAACGTATTCATCAGTTCTTCAAAAGTTGATACAATTTCTGGGTTCATAAAAATCACTTAAATTTTGGTGGTTTGAATACTTTACCCTAAGGCGAGACATTGTAAATAATGAATCATGGATAGGCATCTGTTTTATGCTTGGTGACTTAAAACTGCATCATTTAATATTCTTTACCACAGTCCACAGGTTGGAACCTGGCTCAGAGAAAAAAACAGACAACAAAAACCAGGGCCCAGTGTGAGAGGTAGCACATGGGAGGGCCGACGTTTGTCTAGGTGCACCGCCCTTGAACTTCCATGCTTTGTACTCTACGGCATCTGCCCAAGAGGAAACCGGGCATGGATAACCGGTGCATGGTGGTCGCTGAGCCCAGTGTCACCACAGGGTTTTGAATGAAGCTAAAATCTAAATGAGTCCACAATTTGAACAGTGTAAGTTCGGTTTTGCAAAGCCTTGTTTGATTAAAAGTCTTTGAATTATTATATTTGGCTCTGTGGACAGACCCTCGCCAAATTGAGTCTTAGCTCTTTAAAGGCAGTTCTGATCCTCTCTCCATCACATTCTACCTGCACTTGGCCTCAATACTTTTCCTAGGGAATTTCCTCTGATGAAATTCACACCTAGTTTGGATCTCTCCTAAGTTCTGGTTCCATGCAAGCAACAAGCTCTTCAGAAACAAACCAACCACAACCCACCAATTTGAACCTCTCAGAAAAAGGCCCCACTCTATGAGCACTGCATGCCTGACTCAGCACAGAAGGCCTCCTCTCTTCCCATCACTCTTCAACACATCCCTTAAGCTCCCCCTATTGTCTACATCTGTCTCCACCACCTTAACACAAACTGGACTTCTGCCACAGTAACCTGTTATCTACAAATTGTCTAATCTCATTTGTTTCTACCCAATATCATTCTGTCAAGAAAGGACACATAGGTCTTTTGAAACATGCAAATTTGATCCTACCACCATGTGCTCAAATCTTTTCTTATAGATGGTGCTGCTCATAGGATAAAATAGAATGGGATCTTCCATGTGGCCTTGAAGGCTCTGTATATCCTGACTCTGCCTAACCCTTCAGTTGGGGAGACGAAGGGTTCTGTGTTCAGTCATTACCAGTGTGGGGTACAATGCCAGCAATCTACCATGTGAGGTCTATGACTGTGACCCACACTTTCACCCTCCAGACTTCCTTCCCTGAGCCACCCACCGCTGAGGTCCCTTTAACTACAGATGTCTGGGAAATAATGGAACAGCCAGTAGAAATGCCCTTAAATGGACTGAAAGCTGGGTCCAAGGGTAAGATCCAGCCTCGACACACCTGTCACCAGTATGTCTACTTTAAAACTTGTCCTCCTCCTTATCTGACAGATGAGGAAGAGAGAGTGAGAGATGAGGTCCAGAGCTGGCAACTGAGCCGGCAAAATGCTGCCGTGTCGTGGGTTTTGCAGCTTCTCCCCACTTCTAGTCGATAAAAATCTAAGTGAAACGCAGTATGAAAAACTAACAATGGAAGAAAAAAAGAAAGGCAACACTCACATCTCTATGAAGGCGGTAGGAGTTCTGCTCTCAAAAGATTTCAGTGGTGACATGAAAACATCACTCATGTTAAATAGCAAAAGCTGACTTGCAATGAGACAATGTTTGTATTTTGGGTGGCAGTCTTTGTATTTAAACTTAAAATGATCACAACTCTCAAAAGCACAAAATTAAAAACAAAGCAAACTCTCAAGCATAATTTTCACATATATGTGTGTATATATAAATACAAACAAATAAGCTATCATATATGTAGGCAGAGAAAACAAGTAACAATATCAGTAAACCATTCATCCACACCAAAACAAAACTGTTCTTACAAGTTTTAGTCACCAATAAGTTATTTACAAACATCAGATATTTAGGAATCTCTGTATAACATTTCCAATTTATGAAAAGAAAATTTTCTTCTAGCTACATTTCTGTCACAAAAATAACAAGCATTATTTTATTTTATCAACTTTTCACTCAATGCCATGTCACTATAGCTTGGGGTTTCAGAGCTGAATTGAACTTGGACCCACTCAGAGTTTAAAAATTTTCATTGAAGGTAATTAATACTTTTTTAAAAAAGCAACAAATACAAAATTTAGTAATTAGTTGTAAAAGCAGAATGATTTATAGACAGTCGTTTTTAAAACTTTATTATTGTTGGGGCTGGAGAGATGATTCAGCGGTTAAGAGTACTGGCTGCTCTTGAAGAGGACCCGGGTTCAATTCCCAGCACCCACATGGTAGTTCCAGGGGATCTGACACCCTCTTCTGACCTCCACAGGCACTGCATGACATGGGTACACTTACATACATGCAGGCAATACACTCATACACATAAAATAAAAATAAATAAAAATA